AGGGCCCGACTGTGGGAGGGCAGCGGAGCATTACCTCATCCCGTGAGCCTCTGCGGGCCGGGAGAAGAATCTTCTAGGGTGGGGTCTCCATGGCGACGGGTGGGCCCGCCCCCCAGAGAGCGACGCGAGCCAATGGGAAGGCCTTGGGGTGACATCATGGGCTATTTTTAGGGGTTGACTGGTAGCAGATAAGTGTTGAGCTCGGGCTGGTTAAGGGCTCAGAGTTGCACTGAGTGTGGTTGAGTCGGCGAGGCGGGAGTGGAGGTGCGCGGACTCAGGCAGGCAGACAGACAGACAGACTCAGCCAGGAAGGCGGTGGAGTCCGACCTGCCCATCTGCCTTTCCTTGCCTTTTTCTCCTCGACTGCTGCGAGCCGGCGCCTGTGGCTCCCGCGCTGGTGTTTGGGGGAGCGCCTGAGGATCCCCTTCTCCTGTGACCCGCGGAGGACAGCCCCGCCGGCCGAGCGCCCGCGGACAGCGCGGAGAGCCCCCGACGGGCCGGTGCGGAGACACCGCCGAGCGGCTGCGGCCGTCAGCAACTTCCCCGACCCGGAGGCACCGGGGCGAGGGGACAAGTGGCTCCGGGTCCCGGAGCGAACTTTTGCTCCGCCTTGTCTCCGGCGGCGCTCGAGAGAAGGCAGCCGCGAGCGGCCGAGGGGGAGGCGAGACCCGAGCTCGGCGTGGCGCGCACCGGTTGCTGAACTTGGGCGAGCGCGAGCCGCGGTCGCCGCGCGTCCCCCTCCCCCTTGCAGCGGAGGAGGGGACCGACGTCCGAGTCCCGGGGCGGGGGGGGGGAGCGGCCGAGACCCGCCACCGGCCGTCACCGCGGGGGGCTCGGCGCCCAGCAGCGCCGCGGGAGAGCCGCCGTCGCCGGGGGAGGCGCGATCGTCCGCGGGCTCCCGAGGATCCGGAGCGAACCCCGGAGCGCTCAGTGAGTGACCGCGACTTTTCAAAGCCCGGCCGCGCGCGCGCGCGAGCGAGCCAGCCAGCGAGCGGACAAGTAAGAGTGCGGGCGGCGTCTTAACCCTGTGCTCCCCGGGGCGAGCTGGGCCGGCGGGCGCGGGAAGGGGGAGGCCAGCCCGCGGGAGCGCGCGCGCTCAGACAAACTTTCCTGCCGAAGGAAGCCGGGACCAGCGCGCTGTGGGGGCCCCGAAACTTCTGCCCACCGCCCAGGCTAACCCCGCGTGAAGTCACGGACTGTTCTATGACTGCAAAGATGGAAACGACCTTCTACGACGATGCCCTCAACGCCTCGTTCCTCCAGTCCGAGAGCGGCGCCTACGGCTACAGTAACCCCAAGATCCTGAAACAGAGCATGACCCTGAACCTGGCCGACCCCGTGGGCAGCCTGAAGCCGCACCTCCGGGCCAAGAACTCGGACCTGCTCACCTCGCCCGACGTGGGTCTGCTCAAGTTGGCGTCGCCCGAGCTGGAGCGCCTGATCATCCAATCCAGCAACGGGCACATCACCACCACGCCGACCCCCACCCAGTTCCTGTGCCCCAAGAACGTGACGGATGAGCAGGAAGGCTTCGCCGAGGGCTTCGTGCGCGCGCTGGCCGAACTGCACAGCCAGAACACGCTGCCCAGCGTCACGTCGGCGGCCCAGCCGGTCAGCGGGGCGGGCATGGTGGCCCCCGCGGTGGCCTCGGTGGCGGGCGGCAGCG